AGACAATGCAAACCTCATACTGCACATCACCAAGGCCTGGCTGTGGAGAGAAAGAGGGCGAGTGTTGGACTGACCTGCCTGGAGCCCTGACCTGTCCCCAACAGAGAATGTGTGGCTCATTTTGAAACGTAAATTGTGTCAACAAAGACCCAGGACTGTTGCACCTTAAGACTTGTTTGCAGGAGGAACAGGACAAAATGACACTGAATCACTTGGTGACCTTAAATGTCTTGTAAGTGTCATGAAGAGGAACGGTAACATGACACCGTGGTAAACTCTTTACTGTCCCAACTTTTTTTGGAATGTGTTGCAGCATCAGGATTGAAGTGAGTGTTTGTTTTGAATAAAGAATAAAACTGATGAGGCGTCACATCAAACAATGAGCTGCTGTGTTGTTTTCAGTGTCATAAAGGACACAGATGGTTTACACATCACTACTTTCAATCTTAATTTTGATTTTACAAATGTCCCAACTTTTTCTGATCTGGGGTTGTAAGACTACTCCCCAGTTTGATAGTGCAGTAATCATCCTGACATGACGAACACTCTACAGTCTGATTACACAACATTTGATGAACTGGAAGCCATGAACTGATGATGAACTGACTTAATTTACGATCCAACTCCTCAAAAGTATGCTCACAGCGGGATTTCTGATCCGACCAATAATAACATATTCAACATGTCGTCCTACCTTCCTCGGCACAGCTCTGCCGATGGCCACCGCCGGCGTCGAACAGAACAGACCCACGCTGACCCCTGGAGTGGCAAAGGTGGACTTCTCCGTCACCACGGCAATGTCACAGCTGGCAACAAGCTGGCATCCTGCCGCTGTGGCAACACCATTCACCATAGCAATCACCGGAACAGGTATGTCCTGTATCAGGGTCATTACCTGGAGGATAAGAGCCAGAGTCAGCAGCATAGACCACAAAGGATTTAGCAGCAATGCTAGATTTGATAGTGATTTAATTATATAAGTGATTTATGCAGCCAGTGAAATTTGTTGGTTGCAGCTTCTTCAGTGTGAGGATTTACTTCTTTTCTGTTCCAAAGTAGATGCTTTTTGACTGCTCTTCAGACAAACTAAACTGAAGACATCACATCTGACAATGTAGTTTTTTCATAAATACACTTTACAGACTAATTGATAAATTGCTCAATTAAAAAATAGATCAACAAACAACTGATCAACAAAATAACAGCCAGCTGCATTTGCAAAATATGACTACATTACTGACTCATTACAAGATTAAAAACAAGTGATCAGTAAATCCAGTATGTAATCAGTCAATGTGCATCATAACCACGGTGAATGAGACCTGATTCTTAATAAACAGCCCAGAGGAGGCTGGTATAGTGATCAGGCTGATCCAGCTCTCACCACAGTGCCAGACAGAGACAAACCAACCTCTGCACAGGTGCGAAACACTTTGGTGTGATGCTCTCGGCCCTGAGCTGACGTCAACTCCTTCAGGTCATGTCCAGAAGAAAATACCGGACCTTTGGCTGACACACACACACACACACACAATGTTAGAACAGCATCTTCCTCTCTCTCTCTCTCTCACACACACACACACACACATTAAAAACATCTACCTGATATGATAATAACTCTGAGCTCATCACTGTGGACATCAGTTAGGATGTTCTCTCTGAGTGATTCCAGCATGGACAACGACAGAGCGTTCCTCTTCTTGGGATTGTTCAGGATTATTCTCCTAAAAACAAAAAGATGTTAACATACAGTCTTACAACATGTGGCATCGTTCTACTTTCTTATTCCTACAGTGTTTTCACATTTGGTCACAGTTTCAGATCAGAAACTTTCCAGATTCTTTATTAACACCGAACAAGAACCACAGGAGAGGACAACTATGAACTACGAACTCCCCACTGAACAGTACAGACTCTGTTTAACTACAGAGGAACATTATACCTTTGTTTTTATTTAGATTCAACATGACTTTACGGTCATGACTTTATGGTTTAGCAGTACTTTCCTTTATCCAAAGGTGGGAAGTAACACAGTGTAAATACTATGTTACTGTACTTAAGTAGATTTTTCAGGTATCTGTACTTGAGTATTTATTTTTCTGACAACGTTTTTCCTTTCACTCCCTACATTTTAACACAAATATCTCTACTTTCTACTTCATTATTGAACATTTTCTAATCAGGCTCGTTACTTTTAGTTTTAATACATTTGAGGGAAGTTATCAATTATTTTTATTTGGCTCTTGCTGCTAAATGTGCACACCAGCACTGGGTGATGTTCTCTGTTTACAGTCCACTAGCTCCTTGTGCTTTCACAGAGATCTCGCTCATGCACAGCCGAGCCTGGTTTGCTTCAGATGCTGTAAAACTTGCGGTCATTTGAAGGTTTTGGGGAAACATATATACTGGTCTGGTATTTTGTAATGAAGAAACCTGTCGCCCAGTGCAGCCGCGTGTTTCACTGATGTGTTGTTGAACAACAAGGTCTATGGCTCAGACGAATGATCCAGGTTACACAGGTATCTAATGAATGTGTGTACTTTTGCCATCTCTGCCTTCAGTCATTTACTTAAAAAATGTATACGCTACACTTTGTGCAAAAAGGCCAAAGAAATGTTTGTAACTAACCAAACTCTCCATGACAAATAGAACTGTTGTACGTTTTACTCTTCTACATACTGTGTATTGAACAACTGCATAGCTCTTAGATAAAATACTTTGCAGGTCTTATACTTTTCACATGAATAATATGTTTGCCGAATTTACCGTAAGACCCTGGCACATGCAGTGAAGTGCTGTAAGTACCACTGTAACGTGCCGTTGTTGTTAAAGTCTATATTGTCTCTTTAATATACTGTATCTGCGGGAGAGCTGCCGTACGTTACAGTAAACAACGGTTCCGAGACACACTTCGTGTTGCACCTAATTCCGTCGTTTTGCCGTCTCACTGTCAGCGGCTCCGGCTCCGTCTGGGAGTAGAACCGGGTACCGGGCAGAAGCGCTGTTGTCCGGCGGAGCTCAAACAGAACAACAGCTCTGCACAGCAAACTACGAGCCATATTTATCATCCTGCTCACCGCTTCACCTTCCTGCTCTCACTTCCTGGCGCGATGACGTCAACGGCACGCAATTCGACGTAGAGAAGTCGGAAATGCCACTGTTGCGCGTTAATCCAAAAAAGTAAACAGCCTACAGATATGAATCTTTTAAAGTTTCACAAAATCAGTTTATTCGCCAATATTGCGAATTTCAAAAGAGTCGGACATTCAGGCGGTTCTATATTTTTGTAGAATTGGGGTTGTTGGAACTGTAGCCGACCTTCTCCAGTAGAAGGAGGTCACATAGGAAAGGATATCGTCTTTCACTCTGTGTGTCTCTTCTCAGTGAGGAATAATAACAACAAGCTTGATTCGTAGTTTATTACATGAGTCATGTGAGGGGTGGAGCTTTGTCAGACCTTTACTGAGTCTGTTTTCAGACTCTAATTGCACAGTCAGTATTACACATAGATGAAGGGATTCACTGCACCGATCAGTGACCAGACAACTGATGTGGAGGTTACACTTCAAATGTGACACCTAGGTGACACAAAGGTAAATAAGAGCTGCAAAGATATTCAAGTTTTTTTTACAACATGCACATACAGCATATTATGTGTTTCTATTTTTAAATGAAGAACATAAATATAATAATGTTCTACTCATTAGGTACTGGTGAAAGTTCATCTGAAATCTGTTAAAATCCTTTCCAAGGAGGGGCGTGCTGTTTACAGATATTAACTGAACTGTCCCAGTGATGAAATATAAAATATAGACAGCGAATTTCTAAGATACATGTCTAGTTTTGACTTTTATTTTCCCATGTCAAGTACTTTAGTCAGCTGGATGTTGTTTTAAAGTGCTATATAAATCAATTAGATTTGATTGATTTAGTTTGGTATCGTTCTCTGAATGGTACCTACATGAAACTAAATGGCCTGTTTATAGTGTTGTGGTCTATTCAACACACGACCTGGCTCAATTTCTGCAGGTCATATCTGAATACACACAGTGTGTGCACTTGTTTGCTTGTATTTGTTACTAAATCAGTAAATGTACTCACTGAGATTTCAGATACTGAAATCCTATTCAGATAAAGTGAGTGCATTTATTCTCAAACACCACAAATGGCAAAACCAAGTGACTTGTTGCAAATTGTGCACAATGAGTGACATGTCTTCCTCTAGGTGTTCTCAGACAGAAAGTGACAACAGCACCGCTGTGCTCTGCTTGCGCCGCACCACGACGGTTTACCACAGCTTGCGCTTTGCTTGGTGAACTTGTGTGCACGCTGTGACGAAAACCCGAGGAGCTAGTAGAACCAAGCAGCCGGTCGGGGACAGAAGGCAAATTGGAGGAACAGCCATGTTTGAATTTCTTGAAAAGTTATACAACCTCAAATAAGAAAAAGTTGGAACAGTTTGTAAAATACAATGAAAACTAGTGAAAATAGTGATGTGTAAATTATCGGTGTCCTGTGTTACACTGAAAACAACACAGCAGCTCATTATTTAATGTAATACCTCATCGGTTTCATTCTTTGTTCAAAATAAACACTCACTCCTATTCTGATGCTGCAACGTGATCCAAAAAAGTTGGGACTGTCGCATTTCAGAGCCAGTAATGAGGTAAAATAATGAAATGATGATTCCATTTGAACCAGGTGATGTCAACAGGTGACTGCATCATAATTTGGACCATCCAGACTGTTAGCAGCAACCAGTCCAAAAGCCAGGGTCTGTCATGGTCTGGGGTTGTGTCAGTGCCCAGGGCAAAGGTCACTCACACTCCTGTGATGGCTCCATTAATGCTGAACAACATAGAGAGATGTTGGAGCAACATGTGCTGCCTTCAAGATGACGTCTGTCCCAGGGACATGTATATTTCAACTAGACAAATTGTGTCAACGAAGGCCAAGGACTGTTGCACCTTAAGACTTTTTTACAGGAAGAATGGGACAAAATGACACCTGACACCCTGAATCACTTGGTGTCTTCAGTCCCTAAACGTCTTCAGTGTTGTGAAAAGGAACAGCAACATCACACCGTGGTAAATGCTTCACTGTCCCAACTTTTTTTGGAATGTGTTGCAGCAACAGAAACAAAATGTTTGAACAAAAAATAAACCTGATGAGGTGTCACATCAAATAATGTGCTGCTGTGTTGTTTTCACGGTAACACAGGACACAGATGGTTTACACATCACTACTTAGCTTTGTTACATGTTCCCCCTCAGGAGATCAACAGACAAGTTTCATAATTTAGGTAATGATGTAATGAGGTACAGTTTTCAAACAGAAAACCTGCCACATTATCTCCACTTATATATAGGGTGAGTGTAAAAGGTGATAGCAGTTAGCACAGACACACACTGTCGGGTCTTTGTTGCTGACTGGACTGCAACTGAAAACTGAAAGTTTCAATTACAGAAGAGCAGCAGCAAATCCTCACAGTTCAGAAGCAGAAATGAGCGACTGTGTTTTTACTCAGTCAGTGAATTAAACAATAAAGTGATTATCCAATTTGTTGTCAGTTAATTTGCAGTTTACCAGGAGTGAGTGTAAGAATGTAAAGTGCTGGTTGTTCCCTCTGACACACAGTTGTAATGTTTGCTTATACAAATACACTTGACTCTGCTTTGAGCAAACATCACCTGCTTGTTGGGGACTTTGTGTCTCACATAATTTGTCAGTGGGGAAACAAGTGGCCCAGTGGTTTGTGGGGTTCAGTTAACTGGCTGAACAGTGAGGCTGAACTGCAGGGTGTCACTCTAGGAACTACACAACTTCATGCACGTAAACATGGGGTAACATTAGCAGTGAAAGTGTTGGGTGACAAGCCGAGACAAGGCAGGGAACAGAGAAAGGATGAGTCCCATCAGAACCGGAGACACAACAACACCCAGACTCCTCCTCCCCAGCAGGAGGCGGGCCTCATGTCAGGTGACGGCGTTCAGGGTCTGGCCTCCGTCCGTGGGGGTGAAGAATTGGACTTTGGGCGTGGTGAGGCTCGAGTTGTTCCTGCGCAAACCTCCGGTGCTTCCTGCCCCTTTACGCATGGAGTTGTTGCGCCGCATGGAGTTACGCTTCCTCAGTGAGTTCTGGTGCGACAGCTCACTCTTCTGAAGAGTCTGGATTAAGATGGACGGCTTCTCATCCAGTTCTCTGGCGCTGCAGCCCGGCGTCACTACCTTAGAGGCACAAACACAAAAACACATTTTCAAGTTTTAACCTTTTGTTCATTATCTGTCAAAATGACTCTTTTCTTTTTCTGTAAGATGTTACAAAAACATGTTTAAATCCCATGAGCTACAAGTCCAAGCTCGGGACAAGCATAATACAATCAAAAAATGCTATCATGAATTTAAGAGAATAACAGTGAAGCTTTAAGGGAGAAACAGGGGACACTGGGAAATGTAAGCTCATGACAATATTAAACATTTAAAAGGCCTAAACGTTGGTGATTCTCAGAAGTCTGAAGTAAAAATTGGACTCTACATTTTCCAAGTTTCTCTCGTTGCTTCTCTTATGATGATTTGCAGTCAGACTATATGAGGAAGGGATCCTAAATGACTGTCACAGATCAGCACTAACAGGTCTTTTCGTATTTAAGTGTGAGACTCTCTTCTAATTCTGAGGACCAGTTCCTCAGCTCTTACCTTGATTGTGTTACCAAACTTGGAGTAGTCCACTGAGTACACGCCCTCCTCTTCTGTTACTATGGGAACAAAGCGGTAACCCCACTGGATCTCCTCGGAGATGTAGGAGGTCCGGGCCTGTGTGGTGATCCCCGTCGTCTCCACCACTCCCTCCAGGATGACGATTACCTCCAGGTCACTGCACTGCAGCTCCATGGCGGACAGGTCGTACAGTGGGCTGACAGACCACAGCAGGGACAGGGTTAGTGTGTCTGTCAGGGACCCGCTTGTGCCTGTGTATACCGCTGCACTCGGCTTCTAGAGGCTGGGACAGACTCAGGTACTAGAGCTTTCAGTAGAACCACGTTTGAACACATAACAATGATCCTGTCCTCATTTTGACTGCTTCCTTTCCATAGGTTAGCACCTTCCTACTTGGCAGAAATCCTCAGACACTCCCCATGTGCACTCAGGTCACAGGCCATCTCATTATTCCATGTCTAATAAGTGCTCAAGCATCACAGAATTTGAGACTAAAGCCTTTCTGTCTTTGCTACCTTGTCCTGGTTTTTGCTCCTTAAAAATCTTCTATTTCTGTCGTATCTTCTCTTTTTTGTGGTGTTGTGCTGACTCGGGTCCAGTGTATGTGGTGCATTGATGCTGGAAAGGTGAAAAGTACACTCACATAAAATCAGTGTGCATATTAAAGTGGCTTGACTTTTGAGTAGATCTTTGCTCCTGCTGAGTTATAAACATGAAGCTCGGTGTTCCTGCTCAGACCTGCTGCTCATGACTCAATGACCTGTGTGTATTAAGTTCTCGGACGCTCTCCGTGGCTCCCACTCTCTCTGGCTTGTTACCTTTTAAAAAAGCAGTGCCTCCTTCACTACAAAAGCTGTGCAGCAGTTTGACCAAACAGTCTCCTGTACTGCTTCATCTGAATACATTGTAAAAGGCTAGTGAGGTAAAGCAGTTCCAGAAAAATGTGAAGATTATACAATATTCTGAAAAACGGACACACTTTTGTACAGCAGAAATCTGTTTCCTCTTCAGTGATTCAGCTAATCATCTCATCTCACTTCACCTGACCTGTGTGAGGAAACAAGAGCAGGGAGGACACATCTGCTGTAACTGTGTCCACATCCCAGCAGCAGTCGTGTCCTCCTGGTACCTGTTTTTGTCGATGACGTGGCAGATGATGAGCGGGGCGAGGAGGAACAGGCTGTTGCTGGCCACAGCGCTTTCTGTCGGTACGTCGATCTGATGGATCGGGATCACCTCCCCCTCCGGTGTGGTGGTCTTCCTCACCACCTGTGGAGAGATAAGGACACATTATCACAATAATCACAATAATAATCAGAATTCTGTTGACTAGCTATGAGCACTCCTTGATGTGAGCAGAGAAGGTGAGGAGAGATGTTAAATGATCAAGGACCATGAGGATGGTCAGCAGTGCCTAGAGGCTTCTGAAGGATCTGATGCTTCTCCTGGGTGTGCCGGGTCCCCCATGAAGACAGGAGGAGGGATAAGGAGACAGAGGGAAGGGAGGGTTATGAGAAACAAAGATTGTAGAAGTACTTATAGGAAGTAGACAGGGAGAGGGATGTTTCACGTCAGTGCCTTCTGTGCCGGTCCCAAAACCCAGATACATAGAGAGGGTTGTGTCAGGACGGGCATCCTGAGTAAAACCCTGCCAAATTACTCATGTGATGTAGTGGTGACGCTCTCCCCCAATACCCCCCAGTCGAAGTACCCAGAGAGAACCCACACAGGCACAGGGAGAACATGCAGACTCCACACAGAAAGGCCCCGGGTCGGCTGGGGCTCAAACCCGGAACCTCCTTGCTGCAAGCTGACAGTGCTAACCACTGTGAGAATCATCACAATTTTATGTTTTCTTCAGTATCACAGTGATCCAGTGATAGTTCTCTGTACCTCAGTAGAGAGGCTGCAAACTGAAAGCTGCTAACTAAGTGGATAGAGCGAGTTTACCAAAATGTAAACAGGTATGGGCTTAAAAACTGCCTCCTAAAATCCACTGATGCTACTGTCATTACTAAGGATTAGGGTGTGGGCTGTGCAGGTTGGGGTTCAGTTGTCAGACTTTGAAAACCTGTGTGTGTGACTGGAGCAGACAAACACCTGCAACCTGACGGTGGCTCCTATGATCATGCTCTTCCTGAGATCCCCGATCCGAATCATGAAACACAGGCGGTTGTTTCTGACAGCGATCACAGCGTGACGGCTGAAGATCAGTGTCTCTGCTCGACGGTTTGACTGAGCTGTCTTCATAAAGATACACCCTGAGGGGACAGAAACACACATCAGTCAATCAGCACCGGCAAGACGTCCTGTTACTACAGCGCCCCGTGAAGGCCGCTCAACACAATGCTCTTTGTCCAGGATGGGACAAAGATCTGTGCCCTACTTATGGGATGAGTATGGACAAAAGCAAGGTGTTGTGGGTAGAGGAGGCAGCAGGTGGACTGGTAAATACACCATAACATATTTACATGATGTTTCTGACCAACATGTCGGCTTTCTAATCAATTCATTATTCTAAGAAAAACAACTTTCCATCAAATCTAGTGAAATGCACACACGGGTAATGACAAAGTCTGTGTCTGTGATGTTCATGAGCAGCTTAATGAGGTTGTTTGGCTTTGAGGAGTTATTACAGCCCCCAACAGGCAGAGAGCTGTCACAGCAAATGTTTACACTGCCTCAGAGAAACCGGCAGCTTTTTGCATCACGCCTAATTCACTGGTGGCTAAAAGCTCAACCATCACATGCAGTACATGACATCCTGGTTAAACAAGTGCTGAAAAACTAGGGAAGCAACATAAACATAATGATGCTATGATTTGCAACTAAGAGGATGAAAACACACTAAACTTTCTTAACAGATAGGTTCATGTTTTTTCAGGTCTATCTTAATATCACAACACTGAAAGACATGGGCAGCTGTAATTGTTCCTCCTGTTCACATGGCTGCAGAAAGGTCCCTTCTTAAAGTGATTTCAAAATGATGTGGGATCAAATTCTGTGCAAAAATCAAACCCTTTTCTATGGAAGCACAAAGAAGGATTTCAAACTAAAGGCCCCACATATACCAACATGACAGGTTCCCTCTAAGATGCAGCCACAGGCCATGAGTCTCACCCAGCATAACGGCATTGATGATGAGCCCCACTATGTTCTGCAGGATGAGGACAGTGATTGCAGTCGCACACTGTTCTGTTATCATACGTCCTCCAAAGCCAATGGTCACCTGAACCTCGATGGAGAACAGGAACGCCGAGGTGAACGACCTGGAAAGAATGATGGTCAGTCGGGGTTTGTTGAATCTGACATTGAAATGATTCAGGGAGCCTCTAACTTTGTACCGACAGAGCCTGTCCTCGAGGCCCACTCTGAGACTGTGGCAGATGAAAAAGAAAAAAAAATGCAGCTTAGATTTTTTTTAGTGTTTAGTGAATTTATCTTAAATCAATGTTGCCCTTTATCTCAAGGACATTCACTCCCATTTGAGGCTTTATTTTGTTTGTCAGCTAAAATCTTCAGAGTAACAAAATGTAAACAACTATTACATGTAAAAGTCCGATGAAAATCCCATTTACAGTAAGTAAAAGAACAGAAGTATCCTCACCTAAGAATACTTTAAGTATCAAAATGACATGAGCTCAGACTTAATACTCGGTGTATTTGTACTGTGGCTGCTGCTCGAGGTGGAGCTGTACAGCTTCATATTAAAGCTGGCAGTTTAGTCCACTGGTTCCCAGCCTGTGGGTCAAGCCCCTCCAGGGTCACAAGATAAATGTGAGGGATCGTGAGATGATTCATGGGAGAGGAAAAGAAAAACAAAGTTCCAACAGTGGGTCTCTTTAAACAACGGCCAGACATGTGAAGTGTGACAAGGAGCCACAACTACACACACACAAACCATTGATTTAATCTTTCACAGTGTCTTGTTTTTTACAGGTTAAGATTCTTAACAGAACACAAGGGTTAATCATATAATCTGTGTTTTTAATGTGAAATCTTAATCTAAAAGGTATCTGTTAAATACATGTAGCGGAGTAGAAAATACTCAAGCAAATGCAAATACCTTAAAATTACACTTGGGTGCAGTAGTTGAGTAAATGTTCTAGTTACACCGCTGTTGAATGGAGAACAAACACTCCCTCCCCGTCCCAGCAATTTTCACTTCATTTCCCATAAAATGATGGGACCTAATGTTTCCGAACTTCCCGTCATAATAAATGTCCGTCTCAGCATTCTTCCTCCGTCATGTTTTAAATGGAAAAAGAGAAAAGAGGCGGGTGGGAGTTGGGAGGTTTGGATAAAGTAAGGATGGAGAATTAAGACTTGTAGTGGCATCAAACACCGAACCAAACTGTTCAAGTTGGACTTGAAATCATTACTTTTACAATACTGACAGTGGTTTGTGTCTTTCTTACTTGACGTCGGTGACGCAGTGGGTCACATTCTGCCGCTCCGGGTCCAGGTCTCCGTGCGCAAACGCCACCAGCCACCAGTACATGGCGAACAGCAGCCAACTGCTGACAAAGGTCGTGGTGAAGATGACCAGCGTAAAGCGCCATTTAAGGTCGACCAACGTGGTGAAGACGTCCTGCAGGAATCTGCCCTGCTCGCGGATGTTCTTGTGCGCCAAGTTACACGAGCCGTTTTTGGCGATGAAGCGCGCTTTGTTCACGCGATCCCTGAACACGGGCTTGCGGGGCATGCGGGAGACGAGCCCCGGCAGACTGAACTCCTCCGGGATGATGCTTTTTCTCGGCAACATCTTCTACTACCGGCCAAAAACGAAAGCCAAAGATACGTTGTAGTCCTTCTTCAGTAGGTTTTTACGCACGGACACAACATGGCCACCTGCAGGAAAACGATCAAAGACGCACCAAGTCTTTTCCTCCTGTCCACATCTGGGGATGTTGCGGAGTGACCGCCTCTGTTCAGCTTCTCTGAGGGCTGGGACGGTCTCCACTCGCCTGTTGACGTAGTCCAGCTTCCATGGTCCAGACCCGGTCAGACCGGGGTGCTGCCGCCTTCTAGGGCTGTTCGCTCGGAAAACACCAAGTTAGACGCACGTAACCGACACAGAATCGCCATTAAAATTGAATAGTGTCTTGAATTAAGGTACATCCCTTACACAGTGTAATAAAATGTTTCTATTTTAAACGATGAATAATTAATTTCAGACACATTTCCATCGTAATCTAGACAGACTTGTAGAGAGCCTACAGGTCAAACGGACGGGGAACATCTGTTCTGTGCTGTGACATAGTTGTTCATACTAGGGAGCTCTTGTCTCTATTTGGCTGTTAATGGACCCTCATCAGAGCAACCATCACCGAACCGGTTCCCAGGGATTTCAACTGTTTGTCCACTCTGCTAATAATGCAAACACCAAACAAAAATAAACCACATCTTTCACACAACACACACATCACAGTTTCACACCTACAACGCAACGTTTGCTCAAAACTTTGAAAGGCCCCCAAAATAAATGGTTTATATAACACGGACTGTCATTGTACTTCTTTAATCCTTCGTTTTAATTGCTCAGTAGGATTAACACCGGGACGCCTGTGGCTCAGGAGGTAGAGCGGTCATCACCAAACCGAACCGTCAGCGGTTCGATTCCCGTTCTCCTCAGTCCATATGTCGAAGTGTCTCTGGGCAAGACACTGAACCCCACGTTGCTCCCGAAGGCCGGACAGCGCCGCCATCGGTGTGTGTGAGTCGTTACATACATGGCCAATAAAAGTAACTAAAATGTAGATAAAGCCGGACTCGGCCACCAGGGGGCGCCATCTAGCTACAGATGTGTCAGCCAGTGTGTGTGGGGTCCCACTGCACATTTACCGACAATGATAAAGCCTCACTTCATCCCAAACCATTTTTTATTAATATGTCAACAGTTAGAAAAAGAAGAAACACACAATAACACGTCGCTACAGAATGTAAACTAACAAATATGTAGAGTTTAAAAAGAACCCAAAATGAAGCTGTACATTTGTGTTTTTAAGTGAAATGTGCATCCATGGCAGCAAATAACTGATAGTGTCATGTTTGCGCTGTGTAACATGCACATGAAAGTACACGCTTTCTCTGCCTGTGCTGTATTTAAAACTCCCCAAAACTCCAGATGGTAAAGATGCTAAAAATATCTGGCTTCTCTTAAAACTGTCAGTGCAAACTGTAACAATGACACTGATACAGAAAATACAACACTTGAAATGTGTTTTGCTTCTTCCTTGTATCCTTAAACAGCACAAAAGAGAAGCACGTATCTTTCCATTGTCTGCTCTCAGTGCACTGTCTGTCTTTGTTCTGAAACATTGTTGGGGTGTGAAACAAAGAGTCTACAAGGCAGCAGTCTGCACAGGCTGAAAAACACAAGCACACGTATTTCAGACACACACACATGCAGTAAAACAAACACAAAGGTTTCAGGAAACATGTCAGGACTAAAAAAGGCAGCTGAACGAGGGTCTGAGACCAGGAGGGGCACTGGGTGATTGACAGAGGAGAACTGGAGTGAGTGCAGAGACAAAGGAGAAGAATGAGAAGGACACAGATCCAGGTTCTAGTGTGAACAACCAAAGTGTAATGTGCTTCCATGCATGACACAAGTGTTACAGCCCTTCGTGAAATATGTGACAAAAAGAGTTGTGTACGGTTGGAAACAAACTGAAGAGGCAACTTCTTGAGATGAAACATCTGAGAGTCCATCATGTTAAAAAAAAAAAAAATGAAATTCTCACCAAAAGAATCTTTTTGGCACTCAGTCTGTGCAGTCCAGGTATTTACAGGTATAACCAATGTTGGTGTCTTCTGTCCCCGAGGATAATATGTTCAGTAAAGCACGGCCACAGACAGACCACAGCTTCAGACCGAGCTGCAACAACCTACAGTGCTTGCACTAATGGAGGCATAGAACCAAAACTGACAGAACAAAATAAACGTTTAAGCCTAAGTTGAGTGGTTGGAGGGACAGTGTTTACTACACATTTCCCCTCAGCTTCAACAAGTCAAGAGTTTCATGCTGAAAAAGTGCAAAAATAAAACAAATGCAATGTGCTGTGCTCGAACGGCGCCCTGCAGATGCTGAAATGATCGAACCATTATGAAACCAAGATGTGGTCAAACCAACACCTGTGCACCTGAGGAAGAGCCAGTCAGAACCCCAAGTACTTTTTCCGAAAGTAATACATTTGAAATATTGCAGATCTTTGGAAGCACAACTCAAGCATTCTGTCTGTGTGAAAAGGCATTTTGTTTCTGCCTTTGTTACCCTGGGGTTGGCTGGCGACTGGCCCCACACCCCCACTACATCCAGCACATAAATTGTAAGCCTGTATAAGATTTCAGGCAAAAAATTAAGATGCAACTACAAAAAGACCAGATGTTAAACCTTCAAATGTGCTTGTATTGAAATGACTACCAATAGATATTGTGTCACAGGAGTAAGAAGAGCCCATTTACTGGGCTACAACTTCAAGACTGTGCCACACTCAGTGTGAGAAGACATGTAAACAGTGCAGGAATCATATATTTGAACAACTGCTTGTAAGTGGTGTCTATAAGCTTCAGCCTAACACATGCCTTTAATAATAATTCATAGTCTATAGTTACTGCTTTTAATTGAAATTTTATGCAATGAACCACAGTGAAAATTGTTTAAAAACTAAAATATAAAGTTAAAAACAGGTAGAAAAAGTTGTTCTGCAAAAAGGGCACTTATCAAGTCAAAGAGCAGGTGCTTGAGCACCACCTGGGGTTCCTCTGTGAATGTGCCTGATCATGGCTGTTGTGTCAAAGATGGCTACCGATAATGTCCAATACATGCTGGAATATAATGGATTAAAAACTGGGGAGAAACAAATTAATAAACAAAAAGTCCAAGCAGCAACAATGACTTTAAGGTCTGTCGTCTTCCATTTTGGTGTCATAAGTTGCAGAAGTTTTTCAAAACAGGTACAAAAAAAAAGGGGCAGCAAATCCAGAAGGAGACCAGAAATCAGAAAGAGATAGGATCAGCTGATCTGATACCGGCTTAGAACAACAAGACTAGCCCCGGCAGCTGGCTTTGCACTCCTCAGCTCAGATTTGTAACAGAGACGTGACCTGTCCTTCTCCGTACGTCTGGCATCAGAAAAAAAGACTGTTCATCATGCTCTACTATCAAGTCTATTAGCATTACATCTATGACAGAAATTAACATCAAAATGTAGCATGTACTACACAAGGGCCAAAGTATTAAGCTTTAAAATCCTTTGCGCAGTGCCAGTTTGCACAATGCATCGATGCATGCAGAGCGCAAACCGCTGGCCAAAGCCAAAATTTAGCCATTTTAAAAAGGATAAAATACAGGTTTCTCTCTTCATTATTATTATATAATACCCAATACAAGACAAACTGATTCATGTGGGTAATCTAAAAGAAGCCAATATATTTTAAAGACTTTTGAAATTCTATCAATATAAAAAGCTTCTTCAGTCAAATAAACTCCTCTGCAGTAGAAATGAGTCCATATGTAGAGTTAGTGTCAAAGTCTGTTCACAGTTTAAAGCCCATGAAACCCACCATTTTATGTTAATACGCTGATTAAGGTTACATTTTTCTTATTGTTCACGACACCCGTGGAAAGACTGAAACCAACAATGTGTTAGTGGCTCCCGCACTAAACTGTTTAAAACAAGCTCACAAACAGGAGCAAACTGTGCATTTGTTGGGGACTTTCAGCAGCAGATGAATCCATATTTGGCAGCAGGACATGGGACTGAGTCAGAATAAACTACAGTGTGTGTTTGTGGTGATGAAAGAACATGTGAGGCAGCAGAACAGAAAACAAACACTTGGCGTTAGGACACATTCACTGCTGGTTTTGGTCTTTTCATGAAATTAGTTAATAAATCAAATAAACTCTTTTACTTCTTGATGCCACATTATTACCTAGCAGGTAAAGAGCTGACACACCACTGTCCTGACCAGGACATGAAACATAATTATTCCCCGGTCCTGGAGGACAGGCTCAAGATAAAGCTCATAGACTATAAACAAATTTAAATGAAATGTTTTACCAACTAGTTTTGGTTTTGTTTGGCCAGATTTTAAAATGTCACTATCTGAGATTTCGGCTTTAATTACCAACATAATAGAAGCTACTGGAAGTCTGTTTCTGGTGCTCACAGCATTAAAAGTTACATTTACAAAATCCACTGTCTATGCTACTGTGAATGATTCACAGCTACGAGAGAGACGATGCCTTTGGTGGTCTGTACTGGGGAGGTGGTGGAAACCTTAAAACGGCCTGATGCCATTAGAGGCATCGAGAAAATAACCCTTAAAATTGTACTGATATGATCTGGTACCTGTTTCTTGTAAAATACAATCTATTCATAAGCATCTACTTATTTTTGTTGTAACTTTGACCTTCGACACTCTTCCAACAGCATCAAAGTTAAAACGGATAAACCTAACGGACTCAATGATCAATTTGTCAACTGAATAATCAAGAACCCATGTTCTATCTGATAAATGGAGGCCTCAACTGACTGAATGTTTCAAGTATGACTTAATGAACACACCGACTGGTGACTGATGGTGCTTCTGGACTTCCTCTCCTTTCCACTGAGTGTGCAGAGAAGCTTCATGTTAAACTGTGTATTGTTGGCTTCACTGAAGTTTAATTCTGTAAATAATTCAAAGTTTAAAACGAGGGAGAGGTCTGTCAGCTGTTAGATGGGCTGACTGGTTGTATGTCTACATGTCAGCCTTGACGAACAAAGCAAACATCCCGTCCTCCTGCTCCAAAAGAGTCTCAGGTCTGTCGTACTCCATAATGTTGCCTCGCTTCATCACTATGACCAGATCAGCTGTTAGGATGGTGTGGACGCGGTGCTAGACACAGAGGAGGGACACAAAACACAACCACAGTTAAGTTCTGGAAAATGGAAAAGAAAAACAAAGAAATACATCACAACATACTTTTATGCAACTGTTGACAGATCAATGGTCCCAAGACTGATCCTTCCACTGGTAAACTAGCTGTTTTGATGGGTTTGTTTGTGATTTTCAGTTGTTCCATGCTTGTTTTAGTATCATGGTGCAGTTTTATTGGAACCAAATGAATGAGCTTCTTTGTAGAGGCACCCAAGGAAAACTGGTCTAATGTGAAAGACCAGTAGTTATGGAATAAAAAGGTCATTAGGAAGTCATAGTGGATCAGTTGGTTATAGTTTCAGAGAACCACTCCTTGCTTAAATTCTGTTTATGTCTGTTGCTGAAAATCGTCTCAACTCCCTACACACCTCTGAGTTGCCTCCACAGGGCAGCTGTCTGCTTCTCTGTGGGTTCAGCTGTTAGAAAGTCCTTGTTGAAGCTGCATCCTAAAAAGAGTCAGCAGAGGTCCAGATGCTGTACAAAAACACGAGGATGGAATCTCTGCTGCTTGGTTTCATTACTGCCTGTCTCAGCACGCTCGTGTTGCAGCATGGCATCCTACAATGCCCCATTTTGCTCCGATATACGAGTGGAAAGTCGAGACTGTATTTGTGTTCACTAGTGTGACTGACTGAATTCTGGTGTCCAGGTTGGCAAAATACACAGATTTGGCATGACTACAACTGTAACTCTCTTTTACTTAGACGCAAAGAGCACGTCGTCTCTTATAAGTTCAATCCTACTTAGAATGTCTGAGCAAAAAGTTTGCTGTCACTAATTAAAGTTAATCTAGTCCCTAACTTTAAAACCCAATATTAAACTTGAGCTCTCTGTAACTGGTGCCTGTAGTCAGCCAAAGATTGGGTATGAGGGAAGGCCCTCTGGCTCCAAACTCAGAGTGATGTCCTCTCTCTCTACTTCTTCATTCTTATCATATTTATAATTTAAGATAAACAGTTTTGAACCAGGACCTTCTGTATTTGGATGAAGTAGCCAGTAGTCAGTAGGCTAGCTGTGCCTTCAGTTTTACATGGAATGTAAAATCAGCGGAGATGTGACATGGCTCCTGGATACTGGGCCATATCAGCCATTATTTTTTTTCCACCTTCACATGTGGAGTTTAACCAATTACCTGCAGGTCTAATCTCCCCATAACTCGTAAATAAAGCTAAAAGAAGCTATTCTGTATTTAAATCTGAGTATAAACAATGTCCCAACACTGAACACTGTGCCCAAAGTGCACATATGTATATGTAATGTCGTGTTGTTCGGTACCAACCAGGCTGTCAGTGGCAGTAAGGCTTCAGCAGACCCAAACTCAGACTCCAGCTCCGACCCAGCCAGAAAAGTAGGAAAATAAGAGATCAGAAACAGGTGGGAAAATGGTCAGAAAAGAAAACAAAGAGCTAAGCTGAGCTGAGCCAAAGCGGTCTGCGCTGATCCAGGTCTACTTGTGAGTCCTCACTAGCACACTGAAGACGCTCTCCTCCTGTGCTAGCAGGTTGGGACCCGAGTCACTTTCCACCAAGATCCCTGAGGAGAAGACCAACACCTGCTCGGCGTCCAAGATAGAGGACACACGGTGCTGGCGGCAGGATGAAAGGCCAGAGCGGATGACAGGGGAAGGGCGGGAACAATCATTTGAGGAAAGGAGGAAGAGAGCAAGGAAGGACAGAAAAGTGCAGATGGCAGATTTAGTGAAAAGCGAGAGCAAAAAGCAAGTGGTGGAAAGGAAAAGACGGGAAGATGAGAGTGGGTGGAAGAAAACAGCAAGAGGAGCAGGAAAGAAAGGACAAAGGACAAAACAGCAACACACAGAGATAAAAGTCAGAGAAAGAAAGCAAATCCATGAATGAAGCAGCCAAGAGGACTGACTTCATATTAAAGACACTAAATGCATTAGGAACTTTTACTATGTTAGATACTATGTGACAGTACAGTGTGAAAAAGGGAAAAGCTGCATGAAAAGGATGCCTAAGGCGTCCTTAAAGATGTCATGATCAATGCAAACAGAGCTTAAAGCATCTGTCAGCACTTAAACCATAGCTAACTAGTCTAATCCAAACAGCTTGTTTGTGACATTCATTTTCAACAAGACAAACGACAGAAGAGACAGAAGGACTTACCGCGATTGTAACCACTGTCCTGTCTGCAAATGCCGTCATCACAACTTTCTGTAAGATATTCTCCTGCAACAAAAGGAGGAGAAAATAGCTCATATTTAAAAGGTAACATTTAAAAAGAAACTGTCATCTGTGATGATGGAGGGTTCGGGCGGTGACAACACCGACTGCACTGTGAGACTCAGAGGCAGATAAATGGTTGAGGGGGTTTCTATTTGCCTCTAGGCTACTGCAGGTCTCCATGTCATTTTCTTAAAAATGATAAACTTTTTTGATATTTCAACCTTATTTCAATGGAACTTTACAAGTGAGTGTAAACAAGAGATGACTGCTTTACCGTATGCCCTGCTGTGACAGAAGAACATGTACATTCACAACACTACCAGTTTATTATCAGGAATGCTAACGGGCATTTTACCTCATTAATTATTTATAGGGGAGCCACGATACCAAAAACTCACGGTACAATATTGTCACAACAAAAAGTACACCATACGATATTTATCATATTGTTAATAAATTAAGAAAAAATATTAAAATGGCCCTTCCTAAATAATAAATCTGTATGTAGAAGATAATGCAGCAGCCAGTAGCCATTTTATGAAAGAAAACTAAACAAATTTTTCAGCAGCTGGGTCTTGTAAACAAAACGAGTCCCATAGTTCCCCCTAGGCAGGTTTAACTTTCTGGCCACCAGTATCCCCCGACCAACAGAGGCAGTAGAGAGCAAATTGCTGCTTGGTGCACCAGAAAGAGGGGAAGAAGATAGACTCAGATAAGCCACATAAGGGTGAGATTTGTGCTTTACTGGAGATGTTTATCAAACATCATTGTTTACTTTTTCAAGAGAAAACGCTTATGGGTGGTTACTAAATGGTTGGTTTTGCATTTGTGCGCCCGGTGTGTTTGCTCATCTCTGTTGAAGTGTAGTGCCCGCCTGTGCCCCGACTGTTTCTGTGAGAGGTGTCCAGGACTGTCTCAGTCCTAAACAGGGGTTGGTATTGTTTTCGTTCAGCAGTATTACCAAGTTGTTAAGTGTTTTGTCAGTTTCCTTTCTGCCCATGTCATTTCTTGAAACAGAAAAACTGAAGTGCTGCCACACAACAGCTCTAAAAGTCGACGATGGAGCATCCGCTATGTCAGTTCTGCAACCTGAACACAGTTATACTAATGAAATAACTATGTAATATGGTGGTAGATACAGTCACAGTCCCACAACGGTATGAAGAACTTTTTCTATCGTAATATTGTGAAATTACAAGTATCGTTACATCCTTAATTATTTATGATCCATGTATAACCAGACCGTCTACTCCACACAGTATATGAAGTTTCTATGTCTTATGACTACAAGAAAATCAGTTCAACATGCTTTTCTTTGCTTGCTACATATGTATTGTTCTTGAGTTGCTGTGCTCACGAGAACATCATGCACACAGAGTAACAGGTTGGAAGAAACATAGGGATCTCTGGAAATTTTCCATTATCTGATATCAGACACACACACACACCGTGGCCATGTCTATAGATGCTGTGGCTTCATCCATGATGAGGATGCTGCTCTTTCTGACAAAAGCTCTGGCCAAACAGAAGAGCTGCCTCTGACCGACACTGAAGTTTTCTCCACCTTCCGTCACGACCGCGTCTGGACTCAGACACACATACAACAACACACATTCAATTAAACGGAGCCTTTAAACTGCTATTTAATTCTACGTGCTATTCAGTGTATCCCGCTGGACTTATCTATAGCTGAGGATGGCTGATTTAGTGGAGTACCTAGACCTCCAGGCAGGGCCTTCACCATGTTCTTCAGCTGAGCGATCTCCAGGGCCTCCCAGAGTCGGTCATCAGTGCACGTCCTCTCGGGGTCCAGATTAAATCTGCAGCAACAGGTCACAGTCGGCACTTGGTTACTGTGTTCATAATAACAGAATCTGAGCAGGTGCATCCACACTTTGTTAGACTAAACATTTTCCTAATTTCTTCTTTATTTAAATCAATATGTTTCTGAAATTCTGCAAAAGAATCATGATGTGCTAAGTGGTATTGGTGAGTGTGTGTGTGACAGAGTAAGAGCGAGTCAAACAGCATCAGAACATTAACACCAACATCTAAGACGACAGCGTGAAACAGTTACTGTCGACCATTCACCCCAGGCTCATGATCACGTAAACAAGAGCCGGGGAACATGCCAGGAGACACACACTCTCCATCTCTCTCTCTCTCACACATACACAATTATCTAGAGCAGCGTATCTGTCCAAACAAACAGCACATGCTGTTTGTCTTTTATAACAAAAACGGAGTCATGGTATCATCTGGTAATACAAACACATGGAGGTTGTGAGTGTGTGTGAGGAGGAGGAGGAAAGACGATGCAGTGCCCTTCATCCTTTAAGTGACCTGCACAGTCTGTGACGTCTGTGACACACATTGGATCAGTTCCAACCCAGCGTTCCCACTGTGTGTTCAATCAATAACCCCACAGCTGGGACTTTGTGTTGGCATGTGAACAACATCTTTGAGGACAAAAACATCAGACTGCAGTTTTATTTTCCCCTTAATTATTCACTCATTGCTGCAGTTTGGGTTTTTCTTGATAATACATCGTCAGGGTTTGTTTTTTAAACTTTGTCTTTAGCCTTCTGGCTCAAAATGAGCAGCAAAGACGAGTACATAGTACAAAGTGCATAGTTTTGCATATGGACAGTAGGGACATGTCCCTACCAATATTTTGGGAGGACAGAAAGGTCCCTATAAGCAAACCCAGTGCGCAGTCATATTAGATCATTCCAATGTGCCTGAATGACTGAAAAGGAGGAGGAAGAATGTCATATTTGCTCCCAGGCACGGAGGGGGACACAGCTGTTGGCCAGTGTGTGACAATGATATTTAATAGTGACTGACTTCAGGGAAGTCGGAAAGATATTCACAGATTTGAAGTTTCTGGATTAAGAGTGAAATATTGCTAAAATACAAACGGTGCCTCTTTTGTTTCCCAGTGATGTAGACAACAAGCTACACACTCATTTTTATCAAAATGAGCCATCCTGTTCTCCAGACAAATAACACTGGTCTCAATGTGCAACAGCTGTGAGATGAGTGGGCAGGGACCGTCCACAAAGTGCAACACTGAAAAGAGACAGACCTACCACAAAAATATTCATTAACTTTACTCTTACCCAGTGTGGTGTTACCAAGATTACTTCACACATCAATGGCCATCTGCTGGTCATACTACAACCCTTAGTTAGGGAAAATATGTTTTTGTCATAATTTGGATGGAAATTTTATTGGGTAAAATTAAGGACAGGCTAGAAACCCCATGAAAATGAACTATTGTGTATGTCGGAGCATGCTTGCATCGGGCAAGAGAAGCAGAGCAGGCTGGTGAGGGAACAGGTGCATCTTCAATGCTTCAGGTGAGGCTCTAATTCCCCTGGTTAATTACACAGTGTGATGCTTTAGAGCGCCGAGGTCAGTTTCTGTCGAGCCATTTTTTCAGCAGCTGCTGTGAGTCAATCTCTAATTTTTTTTTTCATGAAAACATGAGATATGTTCCAGAATGTGTGTGCGTTAATCACGTTAAAAAATTTGTGGCACTGAAAGGAATTTGCATTAACACATTATTATTGCATCAACTTTGACAGCACTAGAATATACAGATGACAATGACAGTTTGAATGAGTTTTTTGATACTTCATGACTCTATGTAATGAGTATGAAAGATGCACCACCTGCAGACTGGAGAGGTGTGAAAAGTATCGCTCATTTGTCAAGGACTGGAGTCAGCTTTCAGCTTTGAATTCAAACTGCAAATTTTCTAAACACATATTTGCAGAAAAATATGACTAACAGAATTAAACAGTTGCTAGTTTACAATGCAACTACAAATGTATGCAGCTGCAATAGTGGCAAATACCATAAGGGCATTTTAGCAGTGAAACTAAAAATAACTTTTGATATAAAAGAAATCTGCTGGTTGTTTTTTATTAAGAATTGAAGTTCATCCATCCATTATCTATACCACCTATTCCTGAATAGGGTCACAGGGGGCTGGAGCCAATCCCAGCTGACACACGGGCACAGGGAGAACATGCAGACCACACACAGAAAAGCCCTGGGTCGGCTGGGGCTCAAACCAAAGACCTTCTGGCTGGGAGGTGACGGTGCTAACCACTAACTGATGCATCAGTTTATCATCACTATCTCTCAGGCTTGACTTCATTTTATCTAGTTTGTTCTCTTTAACTTTAGACAGATAATTTAGAAATAAAAACCAGGCTGTTAATAAGTCTTTGGAGTCCTGTCAACACAAGGTATAATACATGTAACCAGTTCTTTAGACTCCACATGTGGTTATCAAAAAGGATATTCTGAAATTGTAAGTGTGTGTCTGTGTACCTTATTGATCCACTAAACAACACAGGATCCTGGAGAATGATGGATAGTCGCGACCTGAGCGTCTGCAGAGGAAGCTTACAGAGGTCGATCTCATCGATGACGATCTTCCCTGCGAAAAAGAAAAAATTCTAATAATAAAAAATAAACTTATGCTCTCTGAACTATGTTGAGGACTTTCCACCAATGGGAGCATGGAAAATCAACTCCAGTTCAATTATTGATTAGCTGGTGTGTTCAGACAGAATGTGAGGCCAGTTTTAGAGGAAAATCGAAATCAGGATGCAATCTGATCCATTGTGGCATAATTGGGCACAAAGTGACGTTAAGTTGTTTTGACTTAAGTGAAAAATTTGTACTTATCTGTTATGATGCAGATTTCTGTCTGAAGACACATTTTGTCTAATTTAGTAAAATGAGAAAAATGTCCATCACAGTTTCCCAGAACCAAGTCTTCTTTTACTTGTTTTATCCAAGCAACCATTCAAAACCCACATATATTCAGTTTACAGTGATATCAACCAAAGAAAAAAAGCAAATCTTCACATTTGAAAAGACAGAACAGCAGATCTTTAGACAGATGATGAGTTAAACATCTAAAAAAACTAACTGATTAATCATATTTCAGCTCTACTTAAAACTGAAAGGATGCCAGCCACCGCTTCTTCCTTGTCTTTGAGCCACACCTGCCTATAATGTAACAAACTATCACTTAACCATAACAGTTTTACAGCAGAGGAGGGCAGCTAGTAATGCACACATCCAATACAAATCCCCTGGGAAGAGGCTAAATGCTGCAATAACAACCCTGCTTGAGCTTCAGTTGTTTTAGTTTGACATTTACAGTACATTTTATTGCCTTCACAGCTAAACTGTATATGACTGTGTGTGTGTGTGTGTGTGTGTGTGTGTGTGTGTGCAAGCACATTATCACCTAGTCAGATAATAACTAGATCATAACAGCTGATCAATAAACCCCTGCACACAGTATATTGTGGCCATTGGATGCTACAGCATGGGCTGGAAAATGATTCCTCTTTCAATTGTCATTTTAAAATTGAAATGATTGCTTTAACTTCTTTAACCGTACAAAACATTTTGATAAATGTATTTTGTTGGGTTCAATACAATGAAGAACGTGCTGTGCAGTTCAGCCAGGACGCTGCTCTGCTTTTATTTCACTGCTTTATAAGGAAAAGCTGCTGACACAAACGTCTTCATTTACAGTTAAATGAAATGTCCGCCCAGCTGTGTGTGCTCCCTGTGAGCCAGTTGGATGGAAAAAGTGACTGTGTAATCTCATCTTTGTCTGAGTCATCTGTCTGGGAGCTGTCATCACTATCCAAAGTACAAACAGAATGATGCAGTTACGACCTGCTTTCAGAATCCTTTAGGTAAAAGTCTGAAGACTTTAAGGCTGCCGTCTTAAAGAAATATGACCAAGAGGCTGAAAGCGACTGCAAGAAAGTGGGACTTTAATCCTCTGATGAAGAGCCTTCTTAAGGTGAATAGTGGAATGGCACATGAAGAACTAAAAGACCTTCAGACTCTCAGAGAGACCGGCACAAGTGTTTAGAAAAAGCTGAACTGCAAGAATTAACAGTTAAATAAACCTTTTCTCCAACATAAACATACACCAATATAACTTAGATTTACCTCAGTAGTGCTTCAGTTTTACTAAAACCCACTATAACATATACATTTATTTGATCTATGCCGTTAAATCACCTCAGCTGCTTTAAACAGCTGATCATTCAGCAGCTATATGCATCTATTATTACAACTGAGTGTGTTTGTGTGCAGTTTAAATGTAATTTAATGGTTTGCACACAGAGCAGACTGTCTACATTTAAGATGACCTGCACTGATGTTAGCAACCTTTTTGGCTCCTGACATTTTAAAGACAAAGCTAGTGTCCTATAACAAGATCAGAACCAACGATGTGTAGGAGCTGCACACTTCAGTTCTTCTGTTGTTCCACCTGTATTAACTGCACAACCAGTGACGGTGTCCTTGACAGCAGCTGCAGCACCAGTACAGACTACATCCGCTGCCTGTTCACGGCCAGGTGCGCCGTCTGTGTTGCTCCTCACCTTTCAATATGTAAGCAATAAAATGCATTTTACAACATAATATAAAATTAATATATATAAACAAAATAGAT